TTGCTTAATAATAGCATGATGTACATTTTCCTTTTGAATTTTGATGTTTAATGACATTAACTGGGCTACCATTTGTGCTACTGTATTTCTGAAAGTTAACTTATAATGTGTGATTTGTGATAATCATGTTTGTGGTGAACTTTTCAACATACTCGACAGAGGATAAAATGTCAATAAATAGCATTTTATGTAGAATAATGCACTTTTACATAAATCAATATTGACAATGAATTTTGTTAAACAAAAGTTCATTGTTGCAAAATAATTGATAAAATGTTGTTTTTTCTCACCATGATGTACCTAACTTTTGTACATTCCTTTCAGAGTTTGATGATAATATTGTATTTGTACATATCAATTTTTGTTTATCCATATACATAATATCTTAATCAATTTCAGTTTTATTTCTTGATATATGTTACATTCCATGATACCATTTTCTGCATTGTACCGCACAACTATCCCAGGCTGTTATCAAATATATGAGTTGCTTCTACCACAACCACCACTATATTTTAAATTGAATGACACTACCTTTTAAACTGGATGTACAGAGTGTCAAATTGTTTACCCTAGGGTCTTGTATTTTCACACATTTTTCAGGTGTAGTAGCTTTTGTTCAGAATTCATTGCAAGTCTACTGAAAGCAAAATTCAGTAAATAGGATAACTGACTGGCTGAAACGATTTGATAATTAACTGAGGTAAACCTTGATCGGTTATTTTAGAGAAATGATGGTGCTACCCTCTTTACGGCCGTTGCTGTCATGATACTCATTACCTAAGTGCAACAGCTAATTTTAATGATGAAAATTAGTTGATTCAGCAGAACTTTTTAACTCTGTTACCATTTTGTTTCCCAAATTGATTGTATCCAACCTTTATTTGTGAACAGAGCTTAAATCCTTATTTTTGGTATACTGGTTGTAAACACAAGTTGTGAGTGATGGTCCAGATGGCCGAGATTGCTAAGGCAATAGTGCTGTAGTGGTCTCAGACCAAAGGGTCGTGGCTTCGAGTCCTGCCTCGGGCACGGTTATATTGTGTTCGTCCTTTCATCCCCTATCATCATCACATTGTGTCATCCTCACAGTTACCGTACTGTTACATGCAATAGGGTTCGCTAATGACCTAGAAGTTGATACAACCTAAAATAACACACACACACACACACACACAAAAAAAAAAAACACAAAGAAATTAGTTATGAGTCCATAGTGTTTTGCAATACATCCATGTTCCATTACGGAAGTTAAGATAGTGCAAGAAAGAAGAAGCTGAGGAAATTTTAGTGCCATGCAAAAAGTTAGTTCAGTAATAACTGAACAATGATTTCTTTGTTTTGTGATGCGTCTTAATTTACTAACAGATTCTTCCAACACACTAATTCTGAGATGATTCTGATGTAGTAATTTTAATGTTCAATATTTCAATAACACTTCAGGCAGTAATTTACAAAAATAATCAGTGTCTTTTCGTATGCTTACAATTCTGATTCCCCATCTTTTCAGACAAGTCAAAATCACTTCCAAGTTGTCGCAATGGGGAAATCTATTGTAACAAGACATTCTCTGTGTAATAGGTTTGGATATTTCATCTAACATGCAATAAAATTTATCAAGATACATGTATTTAAAAGCCAATGAGAGTCATTCAGTTAATACCCCAAAAAGACAGGAAATGTAGTATATACTATATCATAATTCATTGGTATCAAACCCAATTTGATGGTTCAAGTTGGTGGGGGATGGAAAACTTTTACAACAATACAGGGAATATCTAATTTCATCATTCAGAAATATGTTCAGATGAAATACCCCTGGTGGTGAATGTCAAAGTAACAAACTCTCAAGACAAACAAATTGAATAAAAACTTCCATCCAGAAACTGTTACATTATGGAAGTTAAGATTGTACAAGAAATAAGCTGGGGAAGTATATATACTGCTCCTCTTTGTGAACTTTACACAAAATTTAATAATTCATGAATCAGAAAAAGGGAGGAGAAATCTTACACACTAAAAATGTACAATTCTAAACCATCTGGCAATGCTTGTTATACTATTATTGACATTACTCTATTCACTAACTTATGCTTCAAGGCCATTTAATTTACAAAAAAGTGTCACAGTTAATGCTGTTGACTGAGTAAAGAAATTATTTAATGAAAAATGAATTAAAGTTACACAAGGGCAGAGATATTCCTGCATTTCCATTCTTGCACAATCTTTTAATGAACAAACTTCACAGAACTAAATTTGGTCTTATTGATAATTGAGTTTGTTGCAAATGTATTATATTCTGAGAGTATTACTTTTAACTCCACACACTTTTAATCCTACTACTAATAAAATTGCTTTATTTTTACTAACAGTTGCTGTCCAATAGTTAGGGGGTCAATGACTGACCCAACGTAGTTTTTTCCCCTATATCTTCATTTAGGGATGAAGTTAGTGTTTTATCTTTTAGGATTTTTATTATCAGAACTTTTAATGATACTTTCATCATCCAACGCTTATCGGCTGTTTGCAAAAAACATCGAAATCGTCACCATATTCACTTCGTGGTAACTCCGGCGTTCTCTTATAGGGCCAGGGCTGCCCATAAACATGTTTCAATCATACATTAGTATCTGCCAATGTAGAACAGCTGTGAAATCAATCGGTAGCAAACCTAATGAATCAGAATTTTTTATTTTTTATAGAAAAGCTCATTTTTGCACTGCCTGTGTGAATGGTCAGGAAGTTTAAAAAGCGTGCCCTTGCCAGACCTCGAAAACAAAATATTTTAGCACAAACTTGCAGATAATAGTAGTGATTATAACACATCGCTAATACATTTTCCTTCGATTACGGTAAAACACCGCATTTACGTGTCCTTACCTAATTTACGTAATTTAAAATTTGTAGCGTCGTCGACGCAACGCCTGAACCTTTGTTAGGGAATACGCTTAACTTCACGGATCCTAGGAGACGAATTCAGCTAGCAATGCTTTTTTTCGCCAGTCTCTTCAATTCCCTTATACTTAAAATATAAATTTGCCTCCGCTTTTACATCTTCGAAATTAAAATTTTTCGGCGCAAACGCAAAGATGAAAGTGAAGACTAATTTGTAGTAATGACCTTGCATATTTTTGTTACCACCAAACCCTAGAAATAAATACTCTGAATCTAATTGTGAAAAGGGAAAGTCAAAACTTTGTTCTGGGCTAGGTTACAGCCGCTTTAAAATGTATTTTCAAAATAAGAAAATTGTTGCGGATTGCTTACATTTTAGAAGTGTTTCGCACACTGCCGGTGCAACGTCTATAATACGCGACTATATAAATGCGCATTCACTTCCAGTCAGTGTTGCCAGGTAGTTTTATGTATTTCCAACGAACTAGAATATACTACCATAGGCAACTATTACATTAATAGTATATTATATTGCACACAAGACAACCAATGAAACAGATTAGCGTAGGCCAAACAAATTTCTGGACTAAATTCCGAGATCGCATTGGGCTACACCAACAGCGACGATAATCCCCATAAACGGCTCTACTGCGCATGCGCAATGTCAAAAGTTTTACGGTCGTCAAACGCGCGAACTGGAATAATGCAGTCCGCAATTTCTGAAACGGCGTTTTTTTCTTTATCGAACGATCATGTTGTTGAATAAATAACATTAAGTTAGAGTAATTATTTCAATGGTATATCCTTTTCAGCAACTTGTTTACTTGGAAGTTATGTTATTAATTGGATTGTTGGTGAACTTGATTACTTGGTAGTTATGGTTTAAAAAATGATTTTTTATTGAAAGTTAATATCAATAAATGTAGAAAATTAATATTCTGCATTTTATTATACAAGCAAAAGTTATTTCCCATTGTTTACATTTTCCTGAAAGGTAAGCAATGTTTTTCTCAGATCCTTGAAAATTGTAAATGAGGGGATTTACTACTGCAATTTATTCCGGGATCTATTCTTCCCCCTCATCTTCGCAGGGGTTGTATTGTTACCAAGTATGGGGTTGTCTCTTAAAAGTAAATTTTTAAATTTTAAGTGCTAAGCCAACCGAGTCTGTTTTATAATAATAAACAAAACATCACATTATCAGCTTATTATTTATTTTCTTTGCTGATCTCTGGCTTAAAATTTTTAAGCCATAGTTCAGAAAATAATATAAATATTAAGCTGTTTCCCATTAAATATGAAATTAAAATTAAATTTCACACATATTTTAGACATTTATAGTGACTACATTTATTTATTTTCAGAACAAGATGCAAGCAGATTTCATTATCGTAGATTGGCCATGGATGTTAGTCTTCAAGGATGCCTGAACTTCTGACAGTTATTTGCACAATGACCAGGGAAATTTAATTACATTAATTTTACCTAGCATGTGTGTCATTAATCAATGCCATTATTAATGCCTGTGATTTGTATCAAGAGCACAATACATGACTATTTATTGGTTGTTACTTGCTATAGTGAAATAAAAAAAATAATTAATTACTCATTAAATTTTTTCATTTTTAACACCTGCCAACTGTAAAAAAATTTCAATATAAAATTTATACTCAACCACCCCCAAAACTGCCAGAAATGGAAGATTTAAATTGAACTAATGAAAAACAAGAAAGGTCTATCACCACAATTGTCTAAAAGACAGTTAAATTTTATTTCGATTGGGCACAGGATAATATTTGTTAATAAAATTTGCCTCAAAATTTGTTTCTTAATATACACCCAATATGGGGCAAAGCACTTATAATTAACATGCCATTTTAGGGTCTGTCCTAATGTTCAATATTAATAAATTGAGCTCTATAATTTAGGACCATTGTTCGGTGGCATCTATGTTTCCATGGGGGCAGTAGGTGCTGAGACAAACAGTAATGATGGTTTCTGCCAACCTGGACTGCCAATGTACTTTACATCTTTTCTCATGCTACAAGATGTTTTTAAGCAAGTTTGGACAATATAACATCACACTATTTAATTTATTACTTCTACTAGTCTATTTTTCTATCTAAAATTACACTGCTTTCAATACAATCTAAAACTTCACAAAGATCCTCTTCTGATAAGTTATTTTGCCACAATTCACACTCTTTGTTCTCACTTGAAAATGAAATTGGCCCTTCTAAGATGAATATTAATTCTGAAGGTAACATACATGGTTCTGAACTAAAATCCTTACAATCTGGGTCATAACACCTTTGATAAAAGAATTTATTTTCAATATCTACCACAAGACGGATGTTATTGCTACGGTGTTCTCTTCCTATATTGTGACAATACCTATTCCCAACTATGTCATAAAACATTTTATTCTGGGATGAGGAATAACACCATCTATATATTCTCCCAGGAGCAACTAAATGTCGAATAAACCTGTCTACATCAGGATATGGAGATGCTACTCCATTGTCAGAAGGAAAATGTATTTTACGACATCCCATTGAACAACTTTTAGCAGGTCCGGTTAGATATGTGCACTGTAGAATAGTTAATGGTGCATCAACAGAACAAAATGTTATTAAGGAATCGAGAAAGAGTCTTTCATCGTTAGATTGTGATTTACAACACCACTTGTTCTGATCACTTCTTACAAGAGGTGAATTCTTTTGCCATTTAGATGAATAGTACAATCGAAAATGTCTATTTTTAGTGTATACACCTTCATCACAAAATAGATGTTGCTTTCCTTTATTATTAATGAACAATTCTGCAAAATCATTAGAGGTAATCCCCATACTGGTAACCTCACAATTGCTGCCTTCTTCACACTTCATAGTTTTCAATGCATCACAAATTTTTTTCACAAAGTTGCCAACACTGTAGTTATCATGAAAAATCATCCCTGGTAACTGATAAATGAGATGGCGACTAAATTTCCGTTCTGTACTTGAATCTAAATCAAGAATATTTTCTCTAGTACACACAATGTTCCATTCTTTTAATAAAAAAAATGACACAATTTTAATGAATGTTTCAGTCATCCTCACTCCATTGTGATTAGGATTCAATTCTTTAGAAAATTCTAAATCAAAGTACAATTTACAAAATGCATGTTCTACTATAATCTCATATGAACATCTCTGTCCTTCTTTTCGACAGTCATAAAACCAGAACACTCGAGGATGAGCAACCAAAAACTGGCGTTCCCCACAGGTACCAGATTGACACACAAAAGTCATTACTCCATTCATCCGTTGCTTGGCGTAGTCAAGTGCATCTTTCTGTTTATGAAACACTTTCCATGTAGATGTTGGAGTGGCTGGATCCAAGAACTTAAAAGGATATTTTTCAATTATTTTTGAAGATGATTCAAGATATTTTGAAGCTGCAGTCTGTCCTTCATGTAATTTCTTCCCATAGAAGAGTGATGTCGGCACGGAAAGCTGTGTTAAATCTGTCATGTTTGCATACTTCAAAAGGGCTTATTCCACAGTTTTGAGCTTTATCATGGAGACTTGCAGAGGATAACTGATGAACTTCGAAACTATAAAACCTACTAGCGTACAGTACGTTGACAACACTTGCTAACAGTATTGGTATTATCTGAAGAAACTCTGAAATAACAACACAACTCAACTCTTTAACCCTCTTAACATCACGCATAAGACTGCAATTCGTTGTAAATTTATAGCTATATCAATCGAGCTTCCTACACACATACCAACTTGCAATACGGTGCCTGGCTCGTTGCTCCCTTTATGAATTTGTGCGAGTTTAATTTTTAATAGTTTAACATAAACACATTAACAGTTCAATACAAATTCAAGAAATAAATTCACTGTACGTGATATGTATATAATAACAACGATAACAGTTTTAACACATATACACAAAATTAATATCGTGAATGTATTACATTTGAGGACATTATAATCATACTGTGTAAACACTCCCCTAAACACTCCTTTGTTTTTTGCCGCCAGTTTACGGAGGGCAGCACCTTCTATCCAGTTTAGCCATAATTGACATAAATTATTATCTGAATATTTTCTCCATTCCATTCGTGAAACTTAGAAGACATTGAGTGTGTTATTAGAATCTGCTATATTTAAATAAATAGAATTAATAAACTTGTGAGATTCAATTTATTTTTCAATATGGATTACAGTGTCCTCCAGGATTCAAATATTATTATGTTGGTGCTTGTAGGAGTAGTTCGTTAAAATTTGAGTAGTTGAAAGAAGAATGTTATGCGTTGGTTTATGCGTTTAGTTTGAAGTGTCTCGGGATTAAATGTCGCGCTATTTGTTGAATGTATTAATTATTGACGTTTTCGTTGTGCTCTGAGTGTAAAAAAGAACAATGAACCGTAAATATGTCGTGGAATTGTTAAATGAGTTTATGACCGAAGCACAACGAAGTGTGGATTCAGTTGACGAAGTTTACAAGGTAACGTATGTAGAATAATTAGATTTTTTTTGTCCGTGTTAATTGCTTATTGAGGAAAGCAGTTATACTTTGTTTTCCAGCGCCTAGTTTGAACGTAAAAAATTTAAAGTAACCTTTCTTTTAGAATTGTCTTGATTGTAACAGGAATTTCAAATATGGAACTCTGCCGCACAAGAAGCTATTACATCGCGGCGCTCTGGAAAAAATGTTCTAAGCGTTCCTCCAACTCCAGGTGCGGCTCTACGTATTCGCCGCAGACTCTCCCCTATTGGAGAAATCACAGGTATGTCCAGAATTATGATAGAAATACAGTGACATTTCACTGGAAGATCCCCATTACTATAATTGTTAGAAAGTGTTGCAAGCGTTCGGAAATTTGACTACTTGGAAATCGTAATGCTTTTCTTAACCCTGTTAGGTACAATAAATCATCACTTTCTTGCGTGCAATTCATCTGAAGGTTTGATTGGTCAAAATGCAAATTTTGTAACAATGGAGTCACATAGGTTTTATTAATTGTTTTCAAGTTTTTATGTAATGTTTATATGCAACAAGAGTTGAAAAGTTTTTAAATTATATAGATTGTGAATATACTCGACAATGAAAGACAAAAAAAATAGACACAGTATTTTGATCCAATAACAATAAAATATTCAAATGTTTATATATTATTATTTACTTTTTGTTGTGAGAGTTACTGCATTTATGTTTGAAATACACTTTTTTTTTTATCACCCGAAAATTTAAAAATGAAAGGAGATAACCTACATGATTAAGCACATCTAACAAAAGAAAATTATTTGAAGCAAGTAAAGTCATGAGTTCACTGGTCACTACTTAAGTGTGTATTTCCTTGAAAAAGGGTGCCACCGAAGAAAATGCATCCTTTCCAGAAATATGACAACAATTAAGAGTAGAAAAGCATATTGCTTCATTGGGCAGATGGCATGCCTAACAGGATTAACAAATTTCTTTTTAAACCATTAAAATGGCAAGGGGGGCTTTTGGAACAATTGTTAATTTGCCCAATTATAACAGCAATTACTGTATTTATCCGTTTCTCTGATCAACACCAGGCGAATGCTGGAGCGGTACTCTAACAAATGGGGTCACGGACTGTGCACAATCTATCCTTCCTCTCGCTTGTATTATCATCACTCCTTACATATATGCAATTACACAAACGTGCAGAACACTACCACACATGCTACAAGCTCAGTCAGCAGCTTGTCCTGGCTGGGGCGGTGCCATGCTGGTGGGATACCTGGTAGGGCAAAACCATGCTAAACGACAGTAGGTCGTCACCATATCTCACCATCTAGTAGAGGAAGATCACTTCTGCCCCTTCCTGAGGAACAAACCTGCACTATTCTTACCATACTTTTGACCTTAGTAGTTGACATGCCCAGAACCATCAAGCAAAACAAATGTATTACCAAATTATAAGATAAACAGTAATCTTGAAGAGGTTTCCTGATTTTTATTTCTTTAAATTTTTAACTAATTATTATTCAGTCAAAATAAAATTTTCTCTTTAATAGGATTGTTAAAACCTAGTATTGGCTAAGCTATCAATATTTTCTTGAATCTGAAAATCACCTTAATGGTAGTTTGTTTATTAATATTATTGTCACATATGTCATTCCTATGTTTATGATCCTTCTCGCCATCTGACTTTGTCACCTCCTCACACCCATTGGCAGCTTGGGTAATAAAATACAAGTATACCCTTTTTTTTGTTAAAAAATGGCACTTTTAGAATAGGGGACTCATAAAATGAAAGTAACACTTGACACTTTTATATAAAAAAAATGCATGTTTTTTGCGATTATTAATGTGTGTATTTTATTTCATTACATCATTTTTGACGGAATACCTCTAGTCAGCCTCTAGAAAATGGCTTAAGTTCAAAAAATGGTTAATGTTAGGAATAGCCACATATCGTCGAGACATATGGATAAAACTGTATAAATTACTATGAACAGATGATTTCAAATTTCATTCGGATAATGTTGATAGTCGCCACAGGTCACTGGCTAAAGTGAAGTGTTAGTCTGAGTGTTAGGTATTTTGTATGACCATAAGAAGTACTTGGACATAAGAAGGTGCAAGAATGGTGTTGTACAAGAAAGTTTTGTACAAGTCGTGAAGACCTGAACTTCATTGCCTACTCGGAAAAAAACATAGCGAAGCCTCAACTGTAACATAAAGGGAGTATAGAATATTATAGAAAAGTGAAACCTGATCTTTGTGTGAATTTTCATTGATCAGTTAAGAGTCGTCTTCGAGAAAATGTTCAAGCGTTACTGAAAATGCTGAATTTTGAACTAATTTCCACAGCAATGTGAGTTTTTGAGAAACTTTATAAGATATCATTTGAGGCTCTTGTACTCACAAATGCAATAATGTATACAAATCATCAGCAATATAAAATACTAGCAAAATACCTGGTGTTGCCCAGGTTTTTTTCATATTCAATCCTTGTGAAAAAAGAATACCTCTTTGTTTTTATGCCTTACCCTCTATATCTGTGCGTCTCTGGCTATACCTGTCTGTGTCTGCTTCCGTTCGTCATTCTGTCTCACTTTCCATCTCTTTGTCGTTCTGTCTCCCTGTCTCTCTTACGTGCGACCCAGTTGTCCATCTCTTATGTGCGTTGCTGTCTTTCGTCTCGCTCTCTCCCTGTCTGACTGTCTGTTTGTTTGTCTCTCCTCTGTCTTCACCCCTCATTGTCTCTCTCTCTGTATCTTTCTCTCTCTCTTTCTCTCTCTCTCTCTCGCATGCGCTTCTGATTGTCCTTGGCTTTGCCCTGAGTCACACAGCAACGGTCAGCAACAATGAAGCCTTAAATTCTCGGCTATCCGGGAGAGGCTGTGTTGTTGGCTGGGAGGCCGATGACACTGTGTTTCCTGGATAGCCGAGAATTTATGGAATCGAGCCGCGGAAGCTTACGTGTACAACAATGAAGCCTGCAGGTTGCGCGCAGTTTGATTTGAAACTGAATTAAAGGTGTGATTTATTTGATTAAATTAAACATCAATTTTTACTTTATGTATTTTTGGCAGAAAACAAATTGTTGCCTGGCCTTCATAAAGAAAAAGGTGGATAAACCCAGTTTCTGAAATTAAGGGGAAATTATCCTTTAAGTTGTGGAATTCCTGTTTTGTGGGGTTCTTGATGCAGAAAAATCAATTGTCAGCTAAATGTGTGTCTGTGAACACCACAAGCACTTAAACCATTCCTAGGATTTTTAAAAATTGAAGAAACCCCAGTCGATCTGGCTGGAATTGAAGCTTTGAGATTTTGAAACATATTCTTTAAATTTTGGGGGTACTTTACATGAAACCCAGGGAAATTTTCAAAATTTTCTCCAAAATTGCTCCAAATTTTACTTTAAATTTCTTGTAAGAATAGAGTAAAGTACATTCATAAATGTGGCATTGGCCTAATTTTGAGGGGTGACTGAATTGATGAAAGAGTGAGAGGGAGGGAGACAGAGACGTTGACGTTTTCTTTTTCACAAGGATTGAATATGGAAAAAACCTGGCAATGCCGAGTATTGTGAGTACAAGGGCGTCAAATAATATATTGTTTCTCAAAAACTCACATTGCTGTGGAAATTAGCTCAAAATTCTGCATTTTCGGAAACGCTTAATCATTTTCTTGAAAACTTCTTTATTTATCAATGAAAATTTGCATTAGGATAAGGTTTTACTTTTCTAAAATATTTTGTACTGTTTGTTACAGTTTATGCTTCACTATGTATTTCCGAGTTGGTGATAAGCATCAGGTCTTCTTGACTTGTACATAACCTCAAGTCCATGCAACACCATTTCACCCTGTCCACCCATACTTGCACATTGTTTCTCTTTAGCAAGACAGCTTCTACCAGCAAGACAATGCAACATTTCATACAACTCACAGGATTTGTTCATGATTTGGAGAGCACTAGGGTGAATTTACAGTGCTCCCTAAGCATGAAACTCCCTTGATTTAAACTCGATCCAGAATC